CTGCCTTAGAGCTGCAAGTAATCTATTTCTATAAGAATTAAGAGATTTGGCAAAGGAAGAAAATTTCTTCAAGCAAGAAAAATGAAAGCCATTTCTGGAACTATAAAAAGATCACACCCAGAAAACGTGGCTGATATATGAATAGATGATATATGATATGATATGACAGGGGCGATAGCCAGAGGCTGAATGCAGGTGGCCTGACAGATAAAAAAAACACATATCCAGAAGTATCCCTGGTGGCAACAACTCACCAGCCTTGGTGGGGAGTGGTTCCAGTCCAGGCCAGTCCTAGGACAGCCTGTTAACTTTTAGCAGTGCCCCAAATAATCTTCAGGTTTAGTTCCAGTGTGAGATTTTGGTCAGAACCCCTAGAGCTACGCAGCCCTCCTGTCTCACACCATACCCTCTACCACCAGGGGCCTGACTTCCATGTTAGCTCCACAGAAGGCTTTCTCTGGGATGGGGGTGACTCGTGGCTGGGCTGGGCATCCCGGAATCACAGGAACCACAGCACATCCCACATTCCTAAGACTAGAGTCTTAACAGTCTCCCACATAGAGGTTAATCCAGAATCAGAGTATCTGACCCAACTGCATTATTTCCCTGAGTAACTTCTAGTTTCAAGCACAAAAGAAAAAAAAAAAAAGTAGACAAGGGAGAAAGTATGGGCTCTTTTATTTAAAGTCAGCCTAAAACTGGAGTCAATCAGAAGAATCAGAATTTTATGCAAAAACACTCTGCTGGCATTTGGGAAAATTCATGTGAAGCCAAAGCTCACAGGACAAGAGGGAGCCAAGGAATTAAGATCTCTTGGAAAAAGCAGGAAATATCGTCCAGCAAGATTTCACCATGTACTGGTAAGTTTGTGTAAACTTGGTGCTTGAGGTAAACCAAATAATTAATGACTACAAAACCACCACTCAATCGTTGACATGGTACAGACATCTGGTAAAGAACAGTTTAGCAAATGGTCTTCATACCACTTCTAAATTCATACCTATAAACTTTTGAAATTAAAGTATATTCTTGACCATCCTATCTGGACAAGTAGTCTCAATTCTATGGACTCACAGACCTATAAGAACAATGCTGCATTAGCTTTACTTTTTTTTTTAAGATTCTGTTATTCTGATTCAGGTCAATTTTTTAATATTTAAAAAGATTTATTCTCACATGGACAATATGATCCATATAATCAGCAGACTAATAAAATTCTAACTTTCTTGACCATTTTTACTAGAATGTCTCAAACATTTTTCCCTATAAATATTCGATTTGGCGGGGGATGGGGGTGGGGGGTAACATAAATAGCAATGGAAGAGTTTATCTTGAGAAATATAGCCAACATTCTCAATGGCCATGATCCATCTTTGCATATAATCCAATATGTCAGATTGGATTTTGAGTGAGAGGTAAAAGACCCATAATTGGTTGCTTCAGGTCTCTTAAATGTCTTAAATTGCAATCCACAGAGCAATCGGCATGAACTGAAATATCTGTGTCTGCTGGTGCAAGGTTTAGCTTACACACAGATGTAGCAAAATTTCACCCAATCTGATATCTCCTTTTATTCCTAGGCCAAGTACTCAGTGGGCTGGGGCATATTTGTAATGTAGGAACATAGGCTGGACAGTCATGTTTGAGAACTCCATCTTTGAATGGAGTATTTACTCCATGCCACATTTACTGGCTGATCTCAGGTACAAGGTCAAAGGCAGAACCTCCTCAAAATTCTACCAAAGGCATATCATCGCCTGTGCTCACAGGGGCCTTATTAATCTTCAGGGTGGGGTTCTTGACACTGTCCATCACCCCTTCACCTGCACAGATTGTTTGGCTGCCGCCTTCACGCTTGAGCCAACTGCAATTTTATTATTACAAATTCCAGATGTTTCAGGTAGACTGAATGAAAATGAAATTGCATAAATCACATGCAGTCAGCGGTGCCTTCAAATGCTTCAGAACAGCACTAAACATAAACAGTTCAACTTTCACACTTGTTACTTAACTTCAATGAAACTACCTCTGGTTGTCTAAACTATTTAGGCTGTTCACCAGTATTTAGTTCTCCCTTCCTGGCACGTGGTAGGATTATACTTCTGACCCTGTTGGGTAGTATGGGTATGTGACTTGCTTTAGCCAGTGAATTTGAACAGAAATGTCACCTCCAGAAGGAAGCTTTAAGAGCTAATGTGTAATGGAATATTACTCAGACATAAAAAGAATGAAATAATGCCATTTGTAGCAACATGGATGGACCTAGAGATTATCATACTAGTGAAGTTAGAAAGGGAAAGAAAAATACCATATGATATCACTTATATGTGGAATCTTAAAAAAAAAAAAAAGGAAAGAAAAAGAAGATATGAATGAACTTATTCACCAAACAGAAATAGACCCACAGACATAGAAAACAAACTTATAGCTACCAAAGGGGAAAGAGGCAAGGCAGGGATAAATTAGGAGACTGGGATTAACATCTACACACTACTATATATAAAATAGATAACCAACAAGGACCTACTGTATAGCACAGGGAACTATACTCAATTTTTGTAACAACCTATAAGGGAAAAGAATCCAATAAAGAATATATGTGTGTGTGTGTGTGTGTGTGTGTGTGTGTGTGTGTGTGAGAGAGAGAGAGAGAGAGAGAGAGAATCACTGTGCTGTACACCTGAAACTAACACAACATTGTAAATCAATTATACTTTAATAAATATATATAAATAAAATAAAATAAAAACAGGTTTTTATTATGAAAAAAAAGAGCCATTGTCACTTACTACATTAATTTCTTCCTCTGCCACAGTAATCATCAATGTCCTCAATGTGGCTACTCCACCATCCTAGATCCCTGAATGAAGATGATAAAAATACATAATACAGATACAATGTGAGCAAGAAATAGGCATTATTTTATTTATTTTTACTGAAGTATAGTTGATTTACAATATATATTAGTTTCAGGTATACAGCATAATGATTCCATATTTTTGCAGATTTTACTCCTTTATAAGTTATTACAAGAAAATGGCTATGATTCCCGGTGCTATACAGTATATCTTTGTTGCTTATCTATTTTATATGTAGCAGTTTGTATCTGTTAATCCCTACCCCTAATTTGTCCCTCTCCTTTTCCCTCTCCCCTCTGGTAACCACGAGTTTGTTTTCCATATCTGTGAGTCAGTTTCTGCTTTACATATACATTTATTTGACTTTTTTTAAGATTCCACACATAAGTGATAACATAACAATATTTGGCTTTCTTTGTCTGGCTTATTTCACTAAGCATAATATTCCCTAGGTCTATCCACATTGCTGCAAATGGCAGAATCTCACTTTTTATGGCTGAATAATATTCCATTGTATATGTATATAACAAATCTTCTTAATCCAACTGTCTGTTAATGGACACTTGGTTTGCTTCCATGTGTTGACTATTGTAAATAGTGCTGCTATGAACATTGGGGTGCATGTATCCTTTTCAATTGTGTTTTCATTTTTTCCAGATATATACCCAGGAGTAGAATCAATGGATCATGTGGTAACTCTATTTTTAGTTTTTTGAGGCACCTCCATACTATTTTCCATAGTGGCTGCACCAATTTACATTCCCACCAATGGTGTACAAGTGTTCCTTTTTCTCCACATCCTTATCAACATCTGTTATTTGTAGACTTTTTGATAGTAGCCATTCTGACAGGTGTGAGGGGATACCTCATTGAAATACATGTTATTTTAAATTATTGAGCACTGGGAGTTGTTACAGCAACATAATCTAGTAGATACACAACAACCTGACTGAAACACCATCCCTTTATAGGAAAGAAACATTGGGACACTAAACACTATGGCAAGTGTTACTATAATACAACACAGAAGAAATGTGAGGTTATATCTATTATATAGTAGCATACATATGTGGATATAGATATTATTGATAGCCACTCATTAAAACAGACTTCTCACGCACCCCCCCACACAAAAAAACCCCTCCTCACATCAAATGGATAATCTGAATTCTTAAAACTGAGTGCTCAAAAATCTCAAAGAAACACCTAATTCCCCCATCAAAAACGTACTTGACCCATTTGTCAAAATCACTTGCAGAGTTCCACTTCTTTTCTAAGACCGAGTACCTTAATCAAATGCAGAGCTTCAAAGAGGCTTCGTTTTGAGTGACCCAATAGACAAATAAATTATCTGCCAATGGCTCCTTTGTAATTGAAGAGGGCCAGGCTGACCAAGGGGAGAAGACTAAATCAAAAACGGAACTGTTCAAGCAAAAGCAACGTTTGGGGACCTGAAACAAACCAATACAGCCATCCCACACACTCTCATTTCCAAAAGTAAGGGTGAGCCAAGCACATGTGTGTTTATTCACTAATAAGAAGATGCAAACATCCCACATCTGATTGATTTCTTATGTGCTACAACCATAAAAATGTTTGGGTCTGGAATACACGTATGAGCGTTGAGCTCAAATGTGGCAGCTTATTAACCCGATCACATATCTTATACCTACAATCTACAAGAACGTTTCCCTTTGTAACAGTGAAACTCTGGAAGGTTTTCTTCTTTACTGCCAGGACAAATTGCTTAGGGCTTCTCACTTAAGTATGTGAAGAACTGTCCAGTTTTAATCTGCAGAGCTTTTAACTGGTGACTCAGTGAGGGATGATGTCATATGTTATCCTACAACGGCTGGTGTGGTTCCCTCTGTTTCTGTGGCCGACAGTACTCCCCAGTTTCCATCCTTTCGTCAGCTTCTTCCCAGCCAGCCCACAGGCAAACAACCTCCCCAGCCGTGGATGAAACAGGAAGTCTGACAGCTTGAGTCTGCAGTGGGACCCCTAGTGTTCTCCCACTCCATGTCCTGGCAGCGTTCCCCAGAAGTACAAACACACACACACAGAGCTCCCATTGTTGCAGCCTTCTCCAGCCCACTGATCCTAATATGGAATGCAGCAGGAAACCCATGATTTCCTGACACTCGGCAAGCTGGAGGAAGCAAGGGAAAAACTCCATTAAAAAGCCCAGCTTTCCTCCATGTTAGATGTGAAGTGGAAAATGGGGAAGATTTAGCGAAATTCCACTGTGTCTTCAGCCAGGCTTGGTGAACAGGAGAGCAGAGTGAAACCCTCAGGCTGTTGAAATTTCTAGACTCCCAGGAAGCCCCTAGAATTGGGTGAAAAATGAGGATTCATAACTCAAACTGATGGGGGCAAGGGGCAGATGCTTTTAATCATTCTCCCCAGTGTGTGTTACCTTTCTTGACCAGTATGGTAAGCAAGAGGGCACATGCCAGCCGCCTCGGACAATTCTGCATGATCCGAGTTCCCCAAAGTAAGACAGAGTGACCTCAAGCCTGCGGCTCGCTTCATGGGCTTTGGGAGAAGCAGGAGAAGCAACGGCAGCGGCACAGTCACAGCAGCTGGAGCCGTGAGAATGAACTGCCAGGAGGGAAACGACAGCAGCTGCGGCTGCGGTGGCCGCGAGGAGAAGAAGATGCTGAAGTGCGTGGTGGTAGGGGACGGCGCCGTGGGGAAGACCTGCCTGCTCATGAGCTACGCCAATGACGCCTTCCCCGAGGAGTACGTGCCCACTGTGTTTGACCACTATGCAGGTAAGAAAAGCAGAAAACCTACCCCTGCATACGAGGTGAAGGAGGCGGGAGACGACAGCCCAGCTTCAGAGGGGCCTGGCTTATCTCTAATGTCAGTGCTGGGTCTGGGCCTGCCAGGAGCCAGGTAGCTGGGCATAGCAGACAACCAAGGTCTTTGCTGTTGTTAGGACAACTTGTATATCAATGTTATGGTAACACTTTTTTCCAGTTAAACCAAATGAATAACACTGGGGAAATACCCTGAACCGTCCTCTAAGCTTTGCGGCTAGAGATTTTACTTAACATTTGCCTGAAGATTCATCAACTTTCTTTAATGTGAACTTTTTAAAAGGTAGCGTAATTGCATCACAGTTCTTTAAAAAACAACAATGACACTAACCACACAACTGGTGAAAGAAGTGTTCTTGCCACTTCTCATATATTCACCACATGCCATTTATAAAGGAAATGCTGAGATTAGTAACATTAGAACATTCGTTTTTCTATAATAATTGGTGCTGTCCTAATGTACTTTTATTTTCCTGTGGAGGTAGATTGAAGGAAAAGTACTGAAAGATTTTAAATATCTCCTAGGCAATCTGTATCTTGAATTAAAAGAGAAATTTTTAATCAATATGTTTTAAAGGTAAAAATAAAGATAAAAATAAAATTTTACTTATTTCAACATATGTCCCCAAAGCACGAAATATGGCATAAAATACTTTAAGATCTGACAGTTAAGATACTGTAGTCACAACTTAATTCTTTCAGGTATATTTTTTCGAGTGTTCTGAAGTTTGTTGTGTGATAGCTTATTTAAATTTTTCCATTTTGACTCTTATTTTTTCTCTTAATCTCCAAAACAAATTTTATTAAATTTCTTAAAAGCAAATTCATAAAATGCTTCAGGTTTACAATAGCCTAGATTTTATAACTTTTTGGAATACGATGATCCACTTGCTCACTATGAGATCAGCTCGAGTTACCAGAGATTTGAGATTTTGTGAGAGGAAAATTTCTCTTCTTCACTTTAGCTTTGGATCCAGAGTACCGAAGGGGAAATGGCCCACAGGAAACCTGTGTGAGTGTTGGCTTTGCTGTGAGGTCATTTGAAATCCTTTCTGTAGGAAGCAGCTTCTTTTCCACAGCTAAACAATCACCTACGTCTCCTCCTACTACTACACGTACATGATTTATGACACTATTACACAGCAGACAGGGAGAGAACCACAGTGAAAATAGTATCCACTTTCTAGCAGGTTTTTCTATATTTGTAGAAATTAAGAGCGAATTTGAACACTGGCTCTCTTAAGCTTTTCTGTGCCCAGAGAAGAACATTTTAATGAGAACAGAATGAAGAGAAGTATAGGTAGACTTTCATCCTGAGGGGGGACAAAAAAGTAATTGTAAAATTAGGTTTGCAACTTAAGAAAATTATTGGGATCCTGACCTGTAAACATCTTAGCAAAAGTTATTTATTCTACACCCTCTTTCTGCCAGGATAGGGAACTGGCTGGTACCTAATTTCAAAAACTTTTAAATCAAAAATGGAACCCACAATCTACTAAAGGGAGAGGTTTTAAGTGCTTTTAAAAATCACATATCCCATCCCCAACTATTGGGTGAAGCAATTACAATACAAACAAAGGCTGGACCACCGCTAGATTCCACTAAGATCAATTTGTTTTATGTTTCAGTTGTGTACATACTTGCTGTTATTTGAGCAACAAAGCATCTTAGATTTTGGCTATTCCTTGTTTTAGCTCTCAAGAAATCACAGCAACTGTACTCAAAGCAATACTTTGTACATAGTAGGCATTCCCAAACATTGTTACTTTGATTTACACTTTGTATTTTTTTTTAAGTACACAGTCATTTCATGCATTTGTAGTTAGGTTGTAAGGGAAATGAAGGTGTAAGCCACATACATCTAGGAGCGCAATGAAGTGAACATTTCCATTTGTAGAGGGATCTTCTCCATCACGACGACCCTAACTCTTTTTACCACCACGCTCCTCATACATGAACTGATTGAACATAAACCCTTACACAGTCACATGAGAATCTACAGTCAATTGTAAAAGAACTCATGCTGTCTTCTCCACGTGGAGAAATATCCAGTATCCAGTCCCTGGTCCTACTGGCTCATTCTGAAATGACAACCTGCAAATAGTTTACTGAGCCTTTGGAAAATTGCAGTCAAAGAATTTAGAAAAGTTCAAGTCAAAGAGAGCCTATCCCTTGAAGAAGATTTTTCCCTAATAGCTACCCATCCTAGGAAGGTAAAGATATAATAGTAAGGACGGAAATACTTAAGATAGTGAGCTCAAGATAGTGAGCTCTGAAGCTGGACAGCCCAGTTCTAATACTGGCTCTGCCATTACTGTGTGGTCTTGAGCAAGTTGCTCAACTTCTCTGTGCCTCAGTTGTCATGAATTTTTTTAAGGGACAATAGAGGTATTAAGATCATGAGAACAAAATAAATTAATACATGTAGTTCTTAGAACAGCACCTTACACATGACAAGTACTAGGTAATAGTAGCTATTGTGATTAAGAATAGGGTCTCTTACATACAGAATGAATAAACAACAAGGTCCTACTGTATAGCACAGGGAACTAAATTTGATATCCTGTGATAAACCATAATGGAAAATAATATAAAAAATAATATATAGAGATAGATATGTATAACTGAATCACTTTGCTATATAGCAGAAATTAACACAACATTGTAAATCAACTATACTTCAATTAAAAAAAGAATAGGGTCTCTACAGTTGCACACAGCTATGAAAGGGAATTAAAATGTAATTAAAATATAAAGGCTACAACAGGGAAAAATATAACTACAAGAGTATCCTTCAAACGGAGTAGGGTGTGATAGAGTGTGTGTATTGTCCTGATGATATAGTTATCGTGTTTACAGATAATTGGTAAATATTTCTACATGGAGTAATAGTAGTGGGATATTCACTGGAGAGGAAATATTAGTTCTGCATGAGTGATTGTAGAAAAATCAACAACCAACTAGAAAAAAAAAGTTTTGAAGTTTTATAAATCTTGGTTATTTTCCTTCCCTCCTACCTATCAGGATCCAAACGTACATCTGCTCGATGCAGCTTTCCTTGACCCCCCCCCCCAAGGAGAATTCCTTGCTCCATCTCCAGCCCATCCCCAGAAATGTGTTAACATTGCTAGAACGCAACTTGCACCATTGTATAGCAATGTATTTGTCTCCTTATTTCCCCAGTCCCCACTGTACGATAAGCTCCTGAGGGGAAGGGTCATGTCTTGCCAAAACCAGTGTTCAATTCTCAGTCCTCGTCTTACTTGATCTCTTGGAGGCTTTTCTTACGGTTTATACTCTCCTTCCTGAAACACTTTCTTTGCTCCTGGGATACCACATTCTCCTGGTTTTTATTCCCCTACTGGCAAGTCTCTCTCCATCTCCTCTGCTGCTTTCTCCATCTCTTTCCCTACCACTATACATTGGCATACTTCAGGGTTCAGTCTCTCAGTCCCCTTCTCTATTTATGCTCATGCTCTGGTTGACAGTATCTAGTCTCATGGCTTTAAATATGATTTATATACTGATGACTCCAAAATGTGTATCTCTACCACAAAAAAAAAAAAAAACACCTGACCCAGACTCATATATTCAACTGTCCATTTGGATATCTAATAGGCATCTCAAACTTAACCTGTCCAAAACAGAATTTTTTAATTGCCTCAGTCTACACCTCCCCTAGTGTTCCCCATAGAATTATATGACCACTGTCTTCCACCCAGTAGCTCAAAACAAAAACTTTGGTATTATCCTTAACTCCTTTCTTCCTTTGACAATACTTCCCATCCCTCTCCATCCAAACCACTAGTTATTATCCCCTCCTACTACCAATCAGGTCAACATTCAAAATACATCTCAAATCCGATCAGCTCTCACCACCTCCATTGTTTTCACTCGCATCCAAGCCACCACCATTTCTCATCCAAACTACTGTAATCACCTCCCAGCTCCCTGCTTCCAGTCGTATCCCGTATAGTTCAGCTCTTCACACTCCCGACAGAAGGACTACCCACAGCCCAAATCCATCAGTCAAATCCCTTCACCCTGAGGCCCCATCATTTATCACAGTCTACAAGGTACTCCATGACTTATCCCCATTATCCCTCGACCTCCTCTCCTAACTCTGCTCTGCAGTATTTCTGCTCTCAGCCATCTGCATATTCCTCAAACACACCAAACTCCTTCCTTCCTTGAAGATTTTGCATTTGCTTTTCCCCCAACCTTACCTTATCCCTCCCATCTTCCTCAGCTTCAATTGATCACCTTGTTTAATGCATTAACACACACATGCGTACAGTCACTCTTTAATTTTTCTCCTGCTTCATCTTTCCTCATAAGGTTTAACACTACTTCACATTATATTTATTCGCTTACCATTTTTATCCTACACTGGGATGTAAACCCCATGAGGGCAAGGGCTTTGTCTTGTTCACTGCTCTATCTCCATCTTCTAAAACAGAACTCAACATCTAGTATGCTCTCAATAGATTGTTACTGAATTAATTAATTAATATGTTTTACGCATCTCTGTCCTTCCAGCGCATAGATAATTCCTGGTCCATTAAAACTTTGAGGAATAAATGAACAAGTTGTTGGTCCAACAGATGTCTCTTTAGGAATGAACATATAAAATATTTATTAAATGTATTATATTTTTCAACTAGTTTGCTTGTATTTTAAATAATCATTTTATCTCTACCAGGATCATAATACAGCATAGAATTTTCCTGACCCAACCAGCCAATGTCACATCTATTGAATAATATAAATATACAATGTATAAATTTCATTTGGAAACAGATGGGATGTACTCAAATTCCTCCATTTGCATTATATTCAAAAGCTTAGCTAAATTTTGAGTGGCTCACTTGTTTATAGTTCTTCATAAAAACGCATGTTCCAGAGTAACCCCAAGTTCAACTATGGGCTAGGTCTAAAAATTGGGGGCAGTA